TAGAATAGAATAGAATAGAATAGAATAGAATAGAATAGAATAGAATATTGGCCAAGTGTGATTGGACACACAAGGGATTTGTCTTGGTGTAAATACTCTCAGTATACATAAAGAAAAGGTACATTCGTTAAGAATCAAGAATCATATCGTATAACACTTAATGATAGTCATAGGGTACAATCAACAATCCAATCATACTAGGAAACAGTCAATATAAATTGTAAGGATACAAGCAACAAAGTTACAGTCCTACAATCACAAGTGGGAGGGGATGGGTGATAGGGAGTGATGAGAAGATTAACAGTAATAGTACTGTATACTTTGTAAATAGTTGAACAGTGTTGAGGGAATTATTTGTTTAGCAGAGTGATGGCTTTAGGGGGGAAAATGTTCTTGTGTCTAGTTGTTCTGGTATGCAGTGCTCTATAGCATCGTTTTGAGGGAAGGAGTTGAAACAGTTTATGTCCAAGATGTGAGGGACTTGTAAATATTTTCACAGCCCTCTTTTTGACTCGTGCAGTATACAGGTCCTCAATTGAAGGCAGGTTGGTAGTAATTGTTTTTTCTGCAGTCCTAATTATCCTCTGAAGTCTGCGTCTGTCCTGTTGGGTTGCAGAACCAAACCAGATAGTTATAGAGGTGCAGATGACAGACTCAATAATTCCTCTGTAGAACTGTATCAGCAGCTCTTTTGGCAGTTTGAGCTTTCTGAGTTGGTGCAGAAAGAACATTCTTTGTTGTGCTTTTTCGATGATAAGGCCAGCCTTATATGAATGAAGGTCCATTTCTACAGGTATGAACAAGCAGCACCTTTCACGCCTGAATCAAAACTTGCTAGGGGTTTGTTCAAAACATTTAGAGTATTAATTTTTTGTGTGTGCCAAATACCCTTTTCAAAGCAGAATTGGTGATTCCGAGCATAGCAAGAAGTACCTCAAGCAGAGGTGGTATTTGACCGGTTTGGCGAGCCAGTAGCAGTGATGAGCAGCGGAGACCAAACCGGTTTTCTCCCCTGCTCTGCTGTTGGGCCCACCCGCATTTGGCGCACACATGCACGCAAAGTGTGTGCACATGCGCAGAGCATGCCCACCAATCAAAAATATTTGAATCCCACCACTGACCTCAAGCCTCAACTTGTGAAGTTCTGAGCTTCAATACATTAATCTGAAGTAGACCACTTCCAAAACGCTCAAAATTGGCCCACTCAAACTTGCAGTTTCATAATAGAGATGGGACATTTTGTGGAATTTGTTTGCTTAACATTTTGGGGTGCTTTTTCCACCCAAATTATACACTTCCCGCAGTTAATCCCTGTGTCATGAAGGAAGTTGTCTTTTGACATTGATTTCAAATGTTATCAAATAATTATTAATGTCTGTCTAAATATTTCTATTCTGGAAGGAACTTGTGGAATATTACAAACACCAGTCTCTCAAAGAAGGCTTTCGAAGTTTGGATACGACTCTTCAGTACCCATACAAGGAGTATGAAAATACGCCGGATCAAAGAAGCCACAGAGCAAGCAGCAATTGTAAGCATTTGTTGTTGTTTTTATTACACAGGAATGAAATTCAGTTGAAAGCACCTTCCATTTTGCATTTTTGACATATAACCTATCAATATGATAATGCATTTAGCCAGACTTTTCTGCAGCTAAGCAGAATCAGCATCTGCTGACAGGTTTATGAAGAGGTCCAGTTGACTTCCTGACTGCCTCTCCTTAAATCAAATTGCTGCTCAAACATCTATTAAAAATGTAAGTGAGCAATTGATTTGTAAACAGGCGTTTTGCATTGGCTAAGCTGCTTTTGGCTACATGAATTAATAAACACGTAATTCAAATTTGACATTTAAATGAATTATTCTTGTTGTTTAAAACCACAGTCTTATAATGCAGAGTTTTTCTAAAGAAGCTTAAGGTCAGAATGATTTCTTCTACCATTCTGCTTGTTGGTGTTCCTAAATAAGACTTACTTTAGAGTAACCAAATTTGGACTGGACAGAGGCAAACACATTTCTATCTATATGTGTTTGTAATTTATTGCAAAAACCAGTACAGGTAATCCTCGATTTACGACCACAATTGAGCACAAAATTTCTGTTGTTAAATGAAACATTTTTAAAGTTTTGCCCTATTTTATGGCCTTTCTTGCCACAGTTGTTAAGTGAATCACTGCAGTTGATAAATTACTAATCCGATTGATAAGTGAATCTGGCTATTTGATTGACTTTGCTTGTTGGAAGGTCTCAAAAAGTGATCACATAACCCTGAGACACTGCAACAGTTATAAATATGAACCAGTTGCCAAGCATCTGAATTTTGACCACATGATCATGGGGAGGCTGCAAAGATCGTAATTCTGAAAAATGGTTGTAAGTCACTTTTTTTTGGTGCCATTGTAACTTTGAACAGCCACGAAATGAACTGTTGTAAGTTGAGGACTACCTGTAGTGAGGAGTTTAACAGAGCTGACCCATGCTGTCCTTAATATTTAATAAAACAACATGAATACTAGTCCTGATAACTGATTTGAAGTTGCTGAGAGCATCTGGGCATCTGTTCATTAGCTTCACTTGATTCTGTAGCCATTGTGATTGCTGCCAAATTTCACAGTGCTGGAATTGGATAGTTGAGATTTTATGAGCAATAGAAATTTCTAAAAATAATGGCAGAAGATTAAAAATTATGTAGACACACGTATGCCCTTTTAATACACTTCTAAATTACTGAGAAGCAGATGGATAATTTCAGAGCCTTTCTGAGTGCCCATTAAAGACCGGAAGATGTTTTGAAATGTTTAGGAGCAAGAAAGTTGAGGCCGTGTCATTGAATGGGGCCAGTTCTTTATACAGCCAATAAATAGGGAAATGGTATGCTTAATATCTATAGAATGATTACAAGTGAGTCTTCATCCCGTATAAATCAACAGAAAAAAACAGCAACCAATAGGCAGGAAAGAGAATTTGTCACATATTTTGGAGAGGTTTGTGCGCAGTGGAGGAATAGGGACAATCAGAAAAATCCATCCATGGGACAATGAACACTTGGCTGCAGAATGAGGAGGGACTCATATGATCAACTACACATCTTTACAATAGTGTTTTGTTACAATGAACATGGATATAATTATGGAAGTTGTAATGCTTTCTTTTAGTTTGTCTTTCTTTGCAGTTTTATATATAAGAGAACAATAAGAGGTAGCATTATTGCAAGAACAATAAGAGGAGAGAGACTGTGAAAATTATGAACACAAGAGCCACAGCACAATTATGTGCAATTGTTTGACAAGAACTGACAAATCTGTGAGCTTGAACTAGCATCAAGTCATCTCAACAATAGATCATTCTAGCACTAATTTCCAGCTAATAATAATTTCCTAGCACTAATTTCCAGCTATAAGTTTTCATAATATGAGAACTAATATAAGCTAATTAATAACTGATTTGTATTCTTTTCTGGCATTTTCAGTGGCCTTTCAAAGAGTTGGTCCCTAGCTCTCAAGCTATTCTGTCTTTTCATTTTTAACAGTACTGTATTGTTAAAAGTTCTTTTCAACACATTAAAAGAAAAAAATGTGTTACTGGCAGAAGATAATAATCCCTTCTGAATATTTTGTTACATTCTATGATTGAGAAAGCTTAATTGTATGATAAAAAGACACAATTTTGTTTGTGCGCAATAACTCTGTGGGGATGGCTTCTGTATTGAAATCAGTGAATTGTTGTTCATTGAAGATCGGTGTTGGGTTTCTCTGTTCCTCACTGCCTGTTAATTTGGGGAAGAGATAGGCAATCTGCTTTCTGCTAAACCGGAAGCAGCAGGGAGGTGTTGTAATTCTACCCCAATAGCAATTTAAGATTGATGGTTGAATGTGGTAATTATTGGCTATGTGTGCAGCTGCTTAATAAGCTATTAATAAATATTTTGCCTACATGATCAGTTTCAATGTTCTTCCCTTCCCAATCAGATCAGGAATTAACTATAATTTCCTAATTCATCAATGAATCCCATGAACTTGAGTTTGTACTTCGGTTAACCATTGAAATGAACAGCGCTTCTTAAATCTCATTTATTCCAGTGTGATTATTTTGACTAAGTGTAGCTTCAACCTCCCAGCTACCATTTTTATTGTTAACCACAGTCAACTTCAAAAGTGTGGTTTAGTATCCATGCTTGTTCAAAAATGGATACCCGTGATTTTCCAGTTTGGATGAATTAGAAAATGATTGTCAGAAGCACCCTAGCTTTATCACAACAAAATTAATACTTGTTCAACTCTTCTGCGTATTATATTAAAATACAATAACTAGTTAATTGTATTTAAGATCTTTGAAAAAGCTTTGCAAGTTGCCCTTATTAAGGGCCCTGCTTTGCAACTGTTAAGAAAATCAGAGTGATTCAGGACATGCATTTGTACATCTCACAACGGGTTTTTTTTTTTCAATCTCAGTATTGTTGTTCCTTATGATACTAAATGGTCCATGTGCTAGGAAGGATTACATATCTATTTCTAAATGTTTTGGGAGCTTAAAAGCAGCTGAAAGTCCCTGCATTTTGCTGGCGTGCCCTGAAGACTATTATTGAAAATACCTATTCATTCATTTTTTTGCAACTCTTTCTGGGGTATGGAAACAAAATAAAGCCAATAAATGCCCCATTTCCTTGAAATGAGATGAATTCAAGATGGCATGCAAGTGTCTTCTGCAAATCCATTGTTATCTTCCCAGTTTGCTACGGGTGATCCAGAGTTACCCAGGGAACTTCATGGCTGACTAGAGATTGGAAGCTTTAATCTGACACAGGGCGACCAAGCTGCAGTTGCTTCCTAAAACAATTGCCGCTCCAATTTACAGGGTGGCATAAGCATGTGCGAAAAAATGAATTGCATCCTTGTTTATGGAAATTCATCTTTTTTTTTTTTTTTGCAAAATGAGTGTTCCTAGTAAGTTGCAGGAGGGAGTGGGGGAACGAAATGGCCAAAGCAAAGGAGTAAAAACTATGCCTTTAAGCAGGTAAGAAATGTTTTTTTAAGCTGCAAGACAGCCAAAAAATGTTTGTTTCTTCTTAAAACAGATGCAAGTCATAAGAATATCTGAATACTTTTTTTTTTTACTGATCATTCAATGTCATTTTGCTTCTCTTTTTTTTCTTCTTTTCTTTTTCTAAGACCCTTCTTTGTTCTGTGGGTTTTCTTTTGTAACTCTGCCAGACTACAGCTTTGTTCCCCCTTCCTCCACTCCTTTCTGGTCAGGTACTGCTTTACTGCTTTCTATTTATTCTCCATTTGCTTGTTTTACAAGTTTGGTATTTCAGTTTCTGTGTGCAGTGCAAGCTAGGGAAGGGACGGATTCATTTCCCAACCCCAGAACTTAATTCAACACAACTAGCAGCTTACAAATATGTTACCCTAGCCCCATGGAAGTGATTTACTCTCAACTGCTTTGACCTAGCTGGAGAATGTTTAAAGCACGTGAAAAAGTGAGTGATTTGGGGCTGTCATGTGATATTGCCCTTTGACATTCAAGAAGGTCATCTAAATGTTCTGCCAGCTATGCAGGGAATGCCAAAAACCTATTTCTGGATTGTTATGTTTTCAGAATATTGGGGAAAGTGCCCACGTTGCCAATCAAAACTAATATAAACAAAACGATTACATTATGTATAGCTATTGATATTCTTAAATGGTTCTACTCTATTTTCGGCGCCCTCAAATATTCGTCCCATCCCTAAAAGCCATTTTGCCAGAGCATTTTCGGATAAAGTACAAGAGGGAAGATAGCTTTCTATTATACGGCAGTTTTGCATGGGCATTGTCTGTAAGTTAACTTTTTCCATCTTCTATGCATTTGTGTTTCCTTTACTCATTTCACATTGTCTCACCCACCAAAAGACATTTGTGCCTTAAAGGGATAGGAATTGGGGTTTTGTTTTGTTTTTTTGCAATAATTAGAAGTGTCAAATCTCCGGCATTATATTTAGGTAGATGAATCATTTACTCAGTTCTGAATCCCAGCATTAAATGTGTAGGACTGAAAATGGAGGCTGTTTAAATTAGAACATGCTCAGAAAGACCAGACCTGCTTGTGAAGTTCCCTGTTTGCACAAATCCTCTTCGTTGTAACCAGAGGCAGCTAGGATCCAATATGATGAAAAGAATCTTACAATACACTGGATTAATTGATGATAACTGCAACTTACTTACTTCCCACATGAACCTAAAACCACATCAGGTCATGTTGAAGACTAATAGGAGAGGATAGTAAGTCAGGGAGACTGTTCTCATTCACCCAGATCAAGGAAAATAACTTTTAGAAATTGTTGAGAATATTCGTAGTTCGGGGTTGTAGTTTTGGCAAGAGGCTGTTCTACAAGCTTGCTCTTTAGCTCCCGGACATTTCATTAACCAGACTAGGTAAAAACTTTTATGCAATAACTTCTTATACAACTCTTTGTTAAACTTTCTGCCACAAGATATGAAGCAGAGGTGGTATTCAGCAGGTTCTGACCAGTTCTGGAGAACCAGTAGCAGACATTTTGAGTAGTTCAGAGGACCAGATATATGCTTTCACTATGCTTTCACTATGCTTTCACTATGTGGAGCTCCCCTTAAAGAGAGAGGTATTTTCATTTTTGTGATCTACTCAGATCAACAGCTGTTTATATTGGAATTAAATGAATCTGGAAAGATCATGAACAATTAAGGCTAAATGGAAGTTTTACATATAGAATCAATGGTACCTCAGAGGACAGATGCTGAGCACAACCTTTGATCTCCTTTTGTTGGCCTTCCAGAACGCATCTTTCTGGCTGCTATGGAAAGCAGAATGTTTGATAGATAGGATTGGATTGGATTAGATTACATCAAACCAAATCAAATATTGTTCATTTTGGAGCATTAGTGACAATCTCTTGCCTGATTTAAGCAATCACTGTATTTTTTTCTTGCTTTGCCCTGTGTGAATTCTTGCTGCGTTTCTTTTTCTTCTTGCTTTTCTCCTGTCATTGTTAATATAATTCTCATAATGCGACAATTGTGACATAGCGAAAAAGCAACGGCTGTAACAATGTTTGTGCAAGTGTTAGTTTAATCAATGTGCCTAGCCAATAGTGAACGGTATGTATCATAATGTAAGTTAATATAAAGTAATTGGATTCTACCATTAGTCTTCATTCTATTTTCCTAAAATATTTTTTGTAGAGTTTTTGAGCATATTTGTAGTACCAACTACTTTGAAGGATTATGCAATAGATTCTGTAGCGACCAAAAAAAGCAGAATTTGTTTTCAGAGTGTAAGTTCAACTTAGGCATTTCAATTTTGGTCGCTGATGTTTGCAAATTTTTTTTTTCTAAGTGCAGTATCTGTTACTGTTATGGAAAGGCTGCTTTTTTGTACCATACAAGTCTACATGACACAAAAGCATGTGCAGCAATTTGTGATCGTAAATGGTAATTTTTTTTTATAATAGCTGCCATTTTTACAAACCCTTGGTTTTGAATTTAGAAAAAAAGTATTGCTGATTGTTAATGCTTTTTTACGAAAGCGGAGGGTAGAATTTAATGTCTCTGAAGTATAGTCATTTCCACAGTTGTATTTTTGCTATGATGAAAGGATTTGAGTTCAACGTTCAACATGCTTTGTATTCCTAACTTTAGGAACATGGTAGCTCCCTTTCAAAATGTGTATCCCTGTACCTTAAAATCAGTAGAGATACCTTTGATCCATATTCCGTGGTTTAGTGAGTTTTGTTTTGATGCAGCACACACACTCTCTCTTCGTGTGTGTGTGTGTGTGTGTGTGTGTGTGTGTGCTCATGCACACATAGACTATATCTCTGTCAATCTGCAAATTATAGTATGCAAGTCATTTTACCTCTGAAACTTGCTGGACTTTAACCATTTCTATAGTGCATCCACTATAGTTTGTTTATCAAATTTATTTGCTGCCCATCTCAAAATAGAGGTGACTCGTGTAGTCTTCCATCTGATGGACTTTCACCAGCTTCACCTGGTAGTTTATTGCTGACATTTGCTGTCTAATGTATTTTCCATAGCTCATCCCACATTTTCCCCCCCCAACTCCACAATGGCACATATGTACAATTTGATCATCACTGATACTAAGGGAGATGAATGATGCTCTGTGCCTTTTTATCTTTCTCTAGCCATTCCTCTAGGGGAAGGTTTGGCCTGGCCTCTTGAATAGACGTCGTACACCTTCTCTTCATAACAGTTTCTTGCAGGTCATTGGCATCCTTCAGTCTCAAGAGACTATGGTATCGTGTTCTGAAAAGAGGTCCTATAACAGCATCTAGTGTGACTAAAAAGGCTAATTTGAGAGTGGCAATCCCTTCCACACTTTAGGACAGATACAGTCTGTCTCCTGTCCAGCCCCCAGATTTCCCTGGTTCTGGGACTGCCTCTTTGCCTCAGCCTGCCGAACGAGTGTCTCTTTGAATTGAAGAAGGCCATGCTGTGTCTTTAGCCTCTAAGCTGAACGATCAGAGGTCAAGGTTTCCCAGCTGTAGATGTCCATTCCCCAGGCCTTTAGATCCCTCTTGCAGATATCCTTGTATTGCCAGCTGTGGTCTCCTTCTAGGGTGCTTGCAGGTAGTCCTTGCTTAACCATTCATTCAGTAACTGTTTGAAGTTACAGTGGCGCTGAATGAAGGAACTTAACAACCGATCCCTGAAGCTACAGCTGTTGCAGTGCCCCTGCAGTCACACAGTCGAGCCCATCCACCCCTGAAATGAGGCTTTCTTCCCTAAATGGCACCCTAGAAAGTGGTTTCCTTGCAAGATCTGTTGAGGACGACTTCATGTGGCCTGCCACTCTTTTGCAAAGGGTTAGGGTGGGCATGCCCTTGCAACAGAGGGAACAAAACGTGGTGAAGATAAGCTAGGGTTGATGAAGGACAAGGTGGCAAGGGCGAATGTGGTTGGGGTGGCTGTAGCTTTGTGTCACACTGCTGAGTTGTGTTGGGGCTTTTTTAGGTGGCTGCGTGCCATACTGTTGGGATGGATTGGGGTAGCTGGGCAACTGTGGCTTTGTGTCCCATTAATAGTCTGGGCTGAGGCTTCCTAGGGGAGCTGCAACTATACCACACTGTTGTGCTGAACCTTCTCAGGGCAGCGGTGGCTTTGCACTGCACTTTCTACGTGGCAGGCTAGGGTTTTCAAGGCTTCCTGGTATGTCTGCAACTTCGTGCTGCGCTGCAGCTTGAACTTGTTGCAGACCCAGATTCACAGTGTTTCAGGAAGGCTCAGTCAGACCCATCGTGTCATGTGAGCCCTGTGGTTTGGGAACTGCTAATAAGGTTGGATATTGAGTAAATATCAGTATCCTGCCTTGCTAGACAGCTAGCAAGCAGGATACTGAGTGACCAAAAGGGCAATGATGGGGAAGAATAGGCGGTTGGAGAGAACTGAAGGGGAGGCAGTCCCTTACTTTGAAAGAACTGAGCATCAGGGATGGAGGAACCAAAGCCGTAATAGTTTGGTGTTGACCCCAGTAAATTCTGTAGTTTTTCTATGCGCTTCTTAGTCACATTGAAACTTCAGAGATTTACATTTATGTCCTGGAAAAAAGTGTTCTTAGTTCTAGAAATATTCTATTTAGGAATCATTGGAGAATATCTTGCCCTTAGAAATATGCCTCATTAATTTCAGTAAAATGGTCAACATTCAAGGAGGCACATTTATCAGTATCTTTGAATCAAAAAGTGGGAGGAAGAAGATGCTGCTGTTTATATTGGCTCTTCCTACAACTTTGGATGATTCATTGATATCAAGAAGCAGCTGATTTAGAGAAACAACTTTACACTGAGAGAGAAGAAGCAAAATCCCTTAGAAGTGCAAAGAATAGGTCTCATGATCTTTAGACATCTCAGCAAATGATCTTAGGAATATGCAATTTTTTTTTCTAAATAAATCCAACCAGCAAGCAGTAAGAAAAAAAAAAATGATTGCATGGAATGAATTTCATTCATGCTATTCCATAAGACCACACATTTCTTCATTTCTGCTTGCACTTGCACTAGACTGGCATACAAAAAGAGTTGCTAATGTTACTCAGTTGCTGTGCGGTTATGAAACTTCAAGTAATATTGCCTACCTATATTTCCCCCAGTGCTGAGTCCCAAAGTCCTCGGGATAGCCATCGCTCGCTATGATTTCTGTGCAAGAGACATGCGTGAATTATCCCTGCTCAAAGGAGATGTGGTCAAAATTTACACAAAAATTAGCGCCAATGGCTGGTGGAGAGGTGAAGTCAATGGAAGGGTAAGCCTTTCTCTATCTTCCTCTTGATTCTGTATTTTTATGTAATGTAAATGGTATGAAGTATATTGGAATAGAATGTTTAATAATTTTCCATGAAAATGTGACACGTACTTGCTGTCTTTCTGAAATTTAGTTTAACTATAAACTACGGTAGTCTAATTGTTTGTGTCTACAATATCATCATCATCATCATCATTATCATCATCATTTTAGCCATTGTCTATCCATTGTGGGATGAAGACCTCTTCCACATGTTTCCAACCAATACGGTCCTGAGCTTTCTTTTGCCAATTGAGCCTTCAATAATTGCTGATGTCATCACTCCATCTTGTTTTAGATTTCTTTTGTGGATGCTTTTTATCAAGTGGGATCCATTCTGTGACTGCCTTGGTCCACCTGCCATCAGTTCGACCCTTTTCCATTTAAATTATTTTACTCTTTTGATGATATTGTGTACTTTTGTTTGTTCCCTAATCCAGGTGCAGGTCTTTTGCTCTTGTCTTGTGATGCCAAACATGTATCTTTCCATGGCTCTTTGTGCCACTCGTAGCTTTTGTATCAGTTGTGAGGTTAGCGCCAATGTTTTGCTGGCATATGTTAAAACAGGTAGCACACACTGTTCGAAAACTTTTTTCTTCAGTCATGGAATTCAGAGGAGTTTCATGTCTTCAAACAGGCGGGATTCAAAAATCCCAACAAATGGTTCTCTGCCCGATTGCTGGATGCCCATGGCCATGGTGGGCGTGGCCTACTGTAACTTCTGGGAGGGCTGCTTTTCACCCTCCCAGAGCCTCTGCACAGACCAGCATCCAAACAAGCTGCATGGAGACTCCTGGGAGGGGCGGGGCAGGGTGGGCAGTGCCAGCTGGTTGGTTCAACTACCGGTTTGGTGAACCGGATGTAAATTTATCATCCGGTTCATCCAAACCGGCTGAATCCCACCCCTGTCTTCAAACCATAAATTATGTGCTTAAATTAACAAAAGGATAGCATAAGAATGTTTTCCCTTTGCCTTTCAAAAGAAACGAATCAGAACTTCTGCGGAAGGCCCAGAATAGTTTGCACTTCATTTCTGAACCACATTCTTGGACACGATGTTTTTATCTTCTAAATGGAGGCATGTGTAGATGTCCAGAAAGGGGTTATCTCAGATGACAGACTTTTTGCTAAATCTGCCAGCCATCAAAGTGATAAGCAAAAATCCTTCCTCCCAATGTGGAAACTAAAGAAATGGAGGAGTTTATCCTAGTGTTGTTGCAGCATCTGTCCTCAGTTCCAGAAATGGACAAAAAGCTGGATGAGGAAAGGATGCACCACATCTTTCTTTCTAGCAACAGTGAAAGAGCTGGGATGGCCTGACTCACGAACTGCACATGTTTCTTTAACAGAAAGAGAAACGTAGATTTCAGCTGTTGCTCCACCAAGGGAGTGGTTACTTCTCTTTTGCCTCTCCTATAGGAGAGTGGATTGGAGCAAGAGGAATTCTTTTGTTGTTCAGTAGAAAATCAAAAGGAGACTGGGAGCACATTTTCCAGTTAACAAATATTATTAGAATCCATAAGCTTTTGTGACACACAGCTCACTTCATCAGATGTTTACTCCTCATCTAGCCAATGGGGGAAAGAAACATAGTGGTCACAAACGTTGGCTTGCAGCTGTGCTTTCATACTGCCAAAAAAGTATGTTTAACAGGTAAAACTATCCTGTTGATCGTAGACAGAACAGAATTTAGTTCTATACGTTTCCATGTCTGTTCTGAAAAGGGTGCAGCAAGCATGTCGGCTGAGAAGCACATCTGAATTTCTGTCAGGCCTATTGATAATTAAGTGTATATTTCTCCAAAGAAACAGCACATGTTCTGCCACAACAGTCAATTTGTTGCAGTTTTTAATCCTTTTCTAAATCATTTTCTGTTTGAAAGGAGGGTATAAGTAGAACCAAGTCCAATCAGATAACCATGTTTCTTTTCCCATTTAGGTGGGCTGGTTTCCATCGACCTATGTAGAAGAGGATGAATGACTGGCAGATCCAGTTGGTACTTCCGATCATAAATTTCAGGGCCTATGAAAGCACCACTGAAGTGTCTGCAGAGCATTATTCATCTTGCTAAGTATTTGATACTGCAGCTCTTCTGTCTGATGAAACTTTCCAGACCCCAACGCTGGAATTCCTGAAGATGTTTGTGCTGACAGCTTGAATATCTCACTCAGAGAGGTGCAAAGAAGCTGCTTCACAACCTCCCAACACTGGGGACCCAAACTCTAACCTCACCTTCCTGGAGAAAGAAAAGAAAATCATTTCAAAACAGACTTCTTTTAAAAACACTTCATTTCATTCCGTCTACAGTGAATTCTAAGTATGGTTAGCAGTTTATGAGCTCTTCCTTTCTGTTAAGTGAAATCTCTGGTGACAGTTATCACTTATGACTTCTTCCAGAGGGATATGTTTGAGCATTCCAGTAATCATGTGGTCAATATTATTTCTCCTGAAATAACTTACAGCACTAATTAACTTTGCCAATAACCGCACACTTCACCAGTTCTTAAATCTCTAAATACACTTTTTTTGGGGGGACGAAGAATAAATTCAATATGATTTGCATGCCATTTAGTGAAATAGTAATGGGGGAGAAAGAATACGAACAAATTTAGTGTTTAAATCCAGGGATGTTTTAACTGGCTTATCGGAGTCTTTTATTACGATATTTTATGGAACCAAGTTTTTAAAAAAGGGATTGTGACTTATGCAATTATATTTGAAAAAGGAATTAATAGAAAAAGCTGCCTAATATAGGGTATTCCATACAAAAATTTAGGTTTTAATACACAAGCTCATGTGATATCCTAAAATCTGTATATTTAAGAGAATTTCTACAATTTTATAGAGAAAGCTTTGGGAACAGTTTGATTGTATCTCTTGACCATTATTAAAAATTCTACTAATGTTCAGGGAAGCTATGATTGTCGATCAACAGGATCAATGATCTTGCAAAAGGCATTGTGGGTCCTTGGGATGATTGTATTACACAGAAAACAAATAATTCAGGTGAATAATACTATGTCCTATGCTCCATTCTGTAGTTGAGCTGAATGATTTCATAAAGATGTACACTTTTTCTCACTTTGTTGGGTTTCAAAGTTTGGTTAAGTTGAAAGTCATTGCCACAAATAATATTTCATCTGAGGTTTCCATTGTTTTAAGCTTTTGGGATAAATTAAGAAGGTCTCTATAGTTTTCAAAAACAGAGTCTTCAAGGATTGTGTTTATGTTCCAGTCCATAGTTTTGAAACACACACACACACACACACACACACACACACACACACACACACAGTATTCTTAAAATAGATTGAGCAGTAGTAGCTTAATATCTTAAGCAGAAAATACCTAAGCAGCTCATAAAAGCTCACAAATATTGGGTGCAGTTCATACAATGACTTTGGAATTTGTGAAGACTCAAATTCCTACATAGGTGATCTTCATATTTTCCAGGGAAACTCCTCTGAAGTTGGTGTGTCCTTTATAAAAGGTAGCCCAATTGGGTAGAACTTCAATCAGCAATGCAAATCAAGAAACCTTTATCTTCTATTGATTCAGAAAAGGGACTTTGAATTGATTTTGGATCTGATATAATCAATAGTCTCTGGCTGACTTTCCCAGACCCCGAGGTTTGTCTTAATGTTAAATGAACCAATTATTTAATTATACATAAATTGTAAAAAAAAATGTTCCACTATGCTTGTATGGAGTGTTTAAATAATCAGATAATTACAGGTTTGATTCTTCCTTTCTTCATGCTTGCTTCTGATGGAAATGTTGCCTATTGCTTATTGAACAGCTGCAAAGACATGTAGCACTAGTAAACTAATTCAAGTCCACGATCAAACTGATAAATTAATAGTGATAAAGGGGAAAAGGAAGGTGCACAGGTTAGAAATGGTCTCAACTTCTCCAGACTTTTATCTTCACAATTTAATGCTAGCGGATAAAGTTTTTGGTCTTGAGAAGTTCAAAATTATTTATTGGAGGCATTATTTTGTTGAAACCAATGACAACCTTTATATCTGGTTCCAGAATTGTATGTAATAAAATGGCCGTGCTGAAATGTTAGTTAGGAATATGTCCTTGGTACTTTTTTGTCTAGTGGGCTAATCCTTAAGTAAGCAAAAACTGCTTGATCAGGAGGTTTGCCTCTTTTTAATGGAGAAAAGTTTTAACTTTAGTTTGCAAAATGAAACACATCGTGAATTCCATCATCGCTTATATGTCTTGCAAGGAAGAATCAACTTCATGTAAATTTTTTTGGGAGAAATGGGTTGTTTGATCAAAACATTTTGAAAGATAGTTTAAAAGCTACAAAGTTGGTGTTTGGCAATATTTTTGCAACTCAGGCGGAACTTGAATACCTGGAGCCATATCTAAACAATCTCTTCCATTATAGTTTCTCACAAAGCTTCTACATTCACATCTGTAAACACACACACACACACACACACACACAGATGCCACTTGGTATTCACCATAAATCTAGCGAGACTTTTTGTGGCAGATAAAAGGCAGGCAGCAATTTAGCCTCACTTGCTTGTCCCTTGGTGTCACAATTACCCGTTTCTTCAGCTTTTCTTTCTTCTTTGTGCTGTGACCCAGGGAAGAAGATGGGTGGGTTGTCTTTTGCTGTTTGAGATATTTTGAGACAGATTGCGGGGTTGGGTCTGGCTGATCCGGTGTGAATCCCTCTGCATACGTTAACTTCATTTTCAGGGAAGAGGCTGGAGAATCCAGTCGTAGAGGAGCTCCATAAGTGCACAAAGTTTTAGGTCAGGACTCTGCTCTTTCTTGTCTTCATTAAATGCCCTGTGTTGAGTAAGTGAAATGCTGCATCATTGCTATATTTCAAATACCAAAGATTTAGTAGGCTGGAGCCTTGCTGCTTCTTTATTTCCCTGCAATGCCTATTTATTTTCCCTGTGTCAGACCCTGCTCTCATGCAGTGAGCTGGGGCAGTACTTTAATTTGTAATGTTATGTAAATATGTGAATATATTAATAAACTTGTTAATTACTTGTTTAATGACTCACAGTGTAAGACAGGTAATTTGTAAAGATTTGTTTCCCTTTTTTAAAAGATTCCTTGTCCTTTCTAACAGTTTCCTACACATTTCTAACAGTGTATTTTGCATTGTAAAGCTGAGATATTTTATATTTGAGGTTATGTCTTTTCCATAAAAACTGAACTAAAATAATCACTTTTAACTTAATAGTCTTTCTCCTTGACTATAAGGTTGGATTCCTTTCATCATTTGGGACAGAAGACTAAATACATATATAGCTTTAAATCAGGGGTGCGAAACTTGATTTCACTGAGGGCCTCATCAGGTTGTGTTTGACCTCAGAGGGGCAGGGAGCATGGCCAGGGGTAGGCATGTCAGGTCCAAGTGCTAAGGCAGGGTTTTCCTGAGACCCTCCCTCACTCTCATTATAATCTCCCTCCCTCCCTCCCTTCCTTCCTTTTCTTCTTTTTCCTTCCCTCCTCATTCTCCTTTCTTCTTCCTTTTCCTCTTTCCTTATCCCCTCCCCGGAGCTCCATTTTTGGTGGCAGAGGCACTGCGTGCCAGTCTTTTTCTGTTTCCAGGCTGGCCCCATGGGCCAGATCTAAGCACCCCATAGGCTGGATGCAGCCTGCAGGACTTGAGTTTGGCACCCCTGTTTCAGATAAACAGAATCAGTTTCCTCCTCTTCTGTTACTTATTGACCTTTTGCCCAGATATTTGCAATATCAATAAGATTCCAAAGAAAATAACCTTACACTCAGTGCTTTTCTGTCCATCCGTGTGCAACACCATTTTTTTTTTTTTGACACAAGGATGGTCAATATGATCAAATTACTAAATGGCTTATTATTCTATGAACCAGTTCCTGAAATTTGTAATATTTTCTTTTGTGTCCCTGTCACCACAGATAATCTTGAGCGCTCTGGTTGTTTTGGCGGTGATATTGCCCATTTAAATCGATAATAATTCAATAAGAATAGGTGGAGCAACCAGTAGTCCATTTGGACAGTCCTATTTTTAAAAGCAAAATCCAATGTCACAAAGTTTCACTGGTGTTTGTCTCTTGCACTTGACAGTCAATTATATGGATATTATGACCAACATAACCTTCTCTATTACTGTATAAATGTAGCCAGTTAAGCCACTGAATATTAGCACATTTTGCAGGAGTAATTCTACTAAATACAGAATATTTATAGTTGTAAAGATTACTGCAAATTGCAGAGTTTGTGTCATGATAAAAAACTGGCTTTCCGTCTTGTGTTGAAAGCTACGTGAGTGCTAAATGACAAAAACCTATAAAGAGAAGGATACAAATTCTATATGTCTTACTATTCTATTTTCTGACCAATTGTGAGAAGTGACTATGGAAAGATGCAGTGGAGGAAGTGACCCATTTATATGGGAAGAATCAACGCAGCCCAGATGTGGGAGCATAACTGACTCGCCATAAGGCTTATCATTTTCGAGATGATGTTTTTACTCTTGCTTAGCATTAAAGATTCCTTTCTAAGTATGTATGGTTCTTCTGGGGTTTGCCAGCTACATGGGACTTGACACATAGGAAGATAAGTGACATGATGCAACAGATACAAGCTTCATAATCCAAGTGATAACGATATCTTGAAGTGTGCAGTATCAATGTGGCTTCTACTATCTATGCCAAATTAGGCTTTCATTGCTTGGAACATCTGACCACAATGGGATTCAGAACCACTGTTGGACCTGGTTGAAATCTTTTATCAATCATAAAGCTTTGGAATGTTTGTTTATTCATGTCAGAAGATCACAATTAAAATAAGGTATACTATAAAATGTAAAATAAAGGATTAGAATATGTACAAGTTCAACAGATCGTGCCCAGAAACTAGCAACATTAATTGCATTCTGTTGTGTTGCCATGAGGTCCTCAAGTGTACACTGATCAGGACACAAAGGACAGGTGTATATACTTATGTGTTGTCTCTGTGTTATCACAATTGTAGTGAGCAGAGGCTCCTGGATAGCTCCATTTGTTCAGCATGTCTCTGTCTGGATCTTGTAGACATGTGCAGTCTATTCAACGATTTCCATACTTCTCAGTTTTCACCAGACCCAGGTGTCAACTCCTCCATTGGTTTCATGCAGTGTTGGTTCTTTTGTAGCTTTCCATAGGTTCACTATGCTTTCAAATTCTTCCAAGTCTTCTGTGGAGCCAAGGCGAACTTTTCTTGGATTTTAATCTCTGTGGAGTTGGTTGTAGGTCATAGAGAGGGTGCTACCAAGATATAAATGATTTAAACCTCTCTGTATGCTGCTTCTCTGGAAACAGCAATGCCAACTAGGTCAGCGGTCACCAACCTTTTGGACCTCAAGGACATCAAACTCATAATTTTAAATCCCGTGGACCACTAATATGAATTTTGACTGACGGTGGTTTGCTGACATTGAGAGAGAGAGAGAGAGAGAGAGAGAGAGAGAGAGAGAGAGGAGAGAGAGAGAGAGACGATCTAGACGATCTAACCTCAGATGGCTGGCAGTGATGTGTTGTGTCTCTCTCTGTCTCTCTCTCTCTCTCACACACACACAGACACACACATATCCCACACACCCACCCACCCCCTCCAAGGCAGCCACATTCCTAACCTGCTTTTCAGCTCCGTTCTTGGGCGGGGGGAGAGAGAAAGGGTATCCTGCGATCCCAAATAAAGAACAATTGGTAGGAAAATGGGGTGGGGGGGTTTCGTGCAAACTTTTTGGGGATTTTCCCAGGGTCCCTGTCTGCAGAGACCCTGGGAAAATCCCCAAAAAAGTCTGCAGGAAAATTTCCCACCTCGTTTTCCTACCGATCGATTGTGCTTTATTTGGGATTGCAGCGCAGCCTGGGTTAATTGCTTTGGGGGTGACATTTCTCTACGGACCAGCAAAATTTTCTCGTGGCCCACCAGTGGGCCCCGGCCCACCAGTTGGCAACCACTGAACTAGGTGGCAGAGCTTATCTAGAGGGGTAGGGGTTTAATTTTTAGAATTAAAATCAACCTTAGCTGATTTCACAGATAGAAATCGTTAGGCAGTTCTAGGTCAACAATGAATTAATTGGTTGATGTGCTGAGTCCATTAAAGAAAGTGTTAATGAGGTTAACATGAGCTTGTGGATGCCAGCCTAATCTTAAAAGAAGCACCAAGATGCAAGTATGAGCAACAATGAAGAGTAACAAGAGTTTTTGAAAGGCATCAACTAAAATACTGTATTTATCATGACAATATTAATCAAAACATATGTTTAGGAGCACAAGACATTATTCAATGAATGCAATAAAATACAGCAGAAGTAAATGTTTTGAAAATGATCATTGGGAAGGCTGTGAAAAGGTAACTCAGGTGCCTGAATGTGTGAACAACTTGCACAATTAATAGTATTGAGTCTCATTTATGCATGTATTCTTTAATTGAAGATGTCTTTTCTTTTTAAAAAATCTTTCTTTAAATGAAAATTATTCATTGTCAAAAAGGAACCATTTATCTTGTCAAAAAGACATACGATGTTAGCTTAAGGGCAATTTTTAATAACTTTGTAAGTGACATTTGCCTGCATCGCCTTGGCAAGACTACATATATCTTTGTCAAACTGTCAAGATTTGGCACGTTTTACTGTTTGGCCGTTTAAATAGCAAAGATCTACTAATTGTAGTCCAAATCTCTATTGTTTTCTTTAGTATTTTTACAGTGATCATCTGCACGTTCCTTCCTCTGAACTCAGTCTTCGCCTTCCATCTTTAGGTAATGGTTTTGCTTCTTGGCCTTATTAAGTTCACTGATATGAACAGAAAAATACTGGATGATCATGTCAGTTTCTAAGGGGTTGCGATGGGATGCAGATGCCCTGAGATTAGACTGAAGATTTCTAACCTGGTTTCTGATGAGTTTCTCAACTCCTTGCCCTGATTATATTTTGCAGGTTCCCAGAGCTATTTAATGCTTGACATTCAGCAACTGGCAAGTGCTTTCCTGTTCCATTTCCTTACTACACCTGCCATTTACAATAGACCTGCCATCAAAAGTAGAATCTTCAGTGCAATAAATTAGCTCTTATCGTGCAGCAATTTAGAGGGTCTATGCTGGGAAGATATAGGCCATGCCCTCAGAACTGTAGAGCTACTGGACATATTGAGTGTGACATCTGAAGACATCAGCTACCTCTTTCTTGGAAAGAGTATAGTGATCAAGGTTCCTGCTGCAATTGTATTTGTTACTGTGGGGAAAACAGAGGGAGCATGATGCATTGTATGCCATGTTGAGTTGTGTAAACAAAGGCAGGCAATAAATCGGACAGACAGTTAGATGTAAAATCTGCCTTGAACTATTAATTCTGGGAATCAGGTGGATACAGAAAGAAAACTTTTGCTATCTTCTGGGTTGATTTTTGAATTGCCCCGAAAAATCTGCACCCCCTAGAAGAATTTTAGGTTGGATTCCCATACAAGATCTGACCCAATTAACCAAGACGTAGCTAGTCCTGCTGGTCTCTATGTTATTCTAGATCAGGGCTGTCAAACTTGTGGCTTGCAGGCCGGATGTGTCATGCCCTGGCCACGCCCACAACTGGTTTAGCAAAGGGGGAAAATTGTGATATGTCATGTGACAATGCCATGACGACATGAGTTTCACACCCCTGTTCTAGATTAATCTAGGTTGAATACATTGGCAGGATGTACTGGATTGTATTCCTTTCCTTTACACAAGAATCAATCCATTGGGGAATCGGATTATGTTTCTTGTGAATGCTGGGACCCAAATCCAATCATTTTCTTTATTGCTTTTTTATCAGGATCCGTAGAAGACTGGATGCTTGCTGGCTGAGGAATCCTGGGAATTGAAGTCCACCATCTTATAGTTGCTGAGATTGAGAAAAACAGCTCTACAGGACTGAGACACCAAGCTCCCCCTATTGAATTTTTTTTAATACTTTGGAAGAACATTAAGCAGAATCGTTCCTTATTCCTCTTTCTATTTTTCCATCCTAACATCACATCTTATAC